AAGATGGAGCCGGCTCCAAACCACTTGGAGCCGCCTCCAAGTCACTTTGAGCCGGCTCCATGAGGCGGCTCCATGATTCCATGAAGCCGCCTCCCTCCTCCTCTCTTCCTATCTGCTTGTTTTCTTCAACTGCGTCCTCTCCGGTGACGTCCAGTTCTGTCAGTCCCCAACTTTAATGGTTTCTACTGATTAAAATTAAGTTCCAATGTTCCAGAGATTTTAAAAACCATTAATCTTAAATCCACTCTAATTAGAACAGAGAAATTCAAGGAAGAAGTAAAACAAGCAAATATGAATCATGCAACATACACAGTTGCAAACGAACCTAAACATGCAAACCAGATTAACATTAATACTTTCCAGTGTGTTACAGACTAACTCACTCTTTATTTAGCAATTTACATGAATTATACATCCAGTTACGTGAATTATTTTATGAGTTACATAACGAAAGATTATAATCAAGCAGTACAACTCATGGCTACAGTCAGTTTAAACAACAGAGACATGAAAACCAGTTTACTTTTAATCCTTATACATTCCTAGAGTTGCATTAGACATTCAAAGAACACGAGTCAACAGAATAGAGTTAGGATTAAAACTTGCCTTTGAGATTTCAGTTCAAAAATCCCAACGTCGTCTTCTAAGTTCTCCGGCGAACTACTGAAATTCTCCTATGTTCCTTCTCTGCCTCCACTATCGTGTTACATATATTTATAGGCCACCCTTAAACCTAAGTCCAACTAAACCCTAAACTAAAACTCGACCCATAAAACACAACCTAGTTTATAAACCTTGTCGGCTAAAAACGTGACTTCTAAAAAACATAAGAAAACCTAATTTAATAAATAACACATTTAACATAATCCAATTACGATAACTATGCAATTAAAATAATTAATCAAATAACATTTAGCTAAAGCAAATAACCAATTAAAATAAAATAAAATCCAATGAAATACACAAATAAATAAAATAATTAAATAAAACAACTAAATAACACAATTAATCAAATAATTAATTAAAGCAAACAAAAGTCAATTAAAACAACAATTAAATCAATTAAAATAACACATAAACATTTCAGCATTTAAAAATGCAATTAAACAATAAAGTAAATACCAGGACTATCCTTTTGAAATTAGGGGTATTACACTGTTCATCTTGAACCGGTTCAAGATGGCTGAACCGGTTCAAGTTTCGTGCACTAAAGTGCGCTGCCCTTCTTGAACTGGTATGAGAAGGCTAAACTAGTTCAAGAGCTCAGGATTTGGTTTTTAAAACAAGTTTCAGGCCTTATTTGTTGCTACATCACTTCATCTCTCTTGCTCTCTCTAACTCCATATCTATATACAAATCCAACATAAATTTCCATATGCATAATATCATAGATTTGTGTTATTCATTCATGATACATATGATCATTGCATGATATTCATAAGATTGAAGTCACGAATTGAAGAGCTGAACATTGAAAATTTGCAAAATGGGTTTGAATGGAAATTGTAGAGTTTGGGTTTACATCTTAGAGGAATGGTTAAATTGTTGAGTTTGTTGAAGAGATTGATGCGTCATTGTGCTTGGGGGTTACAAATTTGTTGGTGTTGATTTTTGTGGAGGATTGAAGATTGAATCAAGCTTTTCTCTTTAACACGTTTGGGTTTGCACACCAGGTGTTCAATAAAATTACTGAACGAGTTTCAAAGCTTCAAAACAAATAATTTTGTAAAGAACATGCCTCCTAAATTGTCTAGAAAAGCTAAAGGAAAAGGAATTGAATCATCTAGACCGCCAAAGAGGTCTAGAACCAGCATTTCTATTCAAGCACCCCAAAATGGTTCTCAAGCTCCAAGCATGGCTCATATTCGATATCCTTCAGTTTCTAGCACTGGAAGGATTGAGTTTACAGCATCAAATTTTTACAATAAAGAAGTTTGGAAAGTGTATAACTCTGTTTACAAGGATAGGCCAATCAAAACAGAGAGAAATGTTAATCTTCAGAAGCTTCAAGACACTGCAGGATAAGCTCTAGTGAACTACATCAAAGCTCATCAGTGGCTTTAATTCACTAGACTTGGCAAAGGCGTTTATTGTCTCGATATGATTAGCTATTTCTATGCTAATATTCTTGAAGTTCATGACTCCCACTTCATTGTATCTTTGTTTGGGGTTGATTATATAGTTGATGAGCATGATATCGCATCTATTCTTGGCCTTCCGGAAAATCATCAACTGTCGGGACATACTTTGCCTTTGACAGTTAGAGGTCCTAATGTTTCCCGGATTATACCCAAGATTTGTGTGCCTAACTCCTCTGTGAACCAAGATACTATCCTAGCTCTATTTCTGACCGATAAAGCTGCGTTCTTCAATTTGTTTGCTATGGCAAATCTGGGCTACTTCGGGAAGAAGGATGAATTGACTTTGGAGAGAGCACATGTACTGTATTTTCTTGTCAACAATAAGAATATTTTGTTGGATCAATCTATTCTGTAGCTTATAATTGCTTATTACAAGAAAAATTCTCGTAAGCACTCTTCTCCCTTTCCGATGATTATCATGGAAATTCTGCATACGAAGAATGTGCCAATTCCTCCAAGGGCTAATCATAAGCCTATCATGACTGAATTGGATCCTCAAGCTTTGAACAAGTCAAAGACTGCTAGGGAGAATGCTAGAAAGGCAAGGAGATCTATTGATGAGGGGTCATCACAAGTTTCAGATATTTCTCAGCTATTTTCTCCGAAAGGAATTTTCATGAAAGTTGATGCCAACCTCATATATACCAATCTACTTCAGCATCAGAATTCATTATTGGAGAAGATGATGGTTGAGATCTGAGATTTCAAACTTCAGGTAGCTCAGTTAAAAGGACAACCATCTGGGGTTCCAGAGGAGGATGTCTACAGGCCTGTGCCTCCAAATCTGTCTCTGCAAGCTGAAGATGAGGGAGATGATGAAGATGGAGCTGAGTATACAGATGAGGATGAGGAGGAGGAGGATGGTGAAGAGAGTGGTACAGACTAAAGATGGTGTTTTCTTATCTCTAAGTTGTTAAGGGGACATGGTGTTGCTTTTAATGATTAATTTTTCATGCATCATGACATCATGTTTTGTTTAATTATTGCACAACTTGTCTTTGTTTTTGGATATTCCTGGAATATGCTTTCACAGACTTTATTATGCTTATCTGAATTGTGCTTTAATTGACTTGGAATTTACTGTTCTAGTATTCTTTTCACTCCTTTGTCAATTTGTTACAAAAATGGGGAGTCCACCTATTTCCTTCAGGGGGAGTTTTTTAAATTTTTATTTATTAAACTTCACAGGTTGTTATTGCTTGATAGTATGCAGGAAATAGGTCAAGCTTTGAATCTAAGAAGAACAGTGTTCCTATTACCTTTAAGCAAAATCATGTAATTTACTTTTCTGCTTTGGGTAGATTGCAAAAATTGTGTTTAGGGTTTTGTCACGAAATTGCCAAAGGGGGAGATTGTGAGATATTATTTATTTTTGGCAATTATCGTAGACATAACGAGTCCAAATTGAGTTGTAATATACATTACTTGTTCTACAAGTCATCAAGTTCAACAAGGATTCCACAATTGGGAAGAGTTCAAACTTACCATACTTGAAGCGTTTGTGATGAAAAGGGTAAGGACACTACATTAGGAAGGAATATGAACAAGGTTGGACATTCTACACTTTCCATATTAGTCTACAATTTCCTTAGAATGAACCAAGGCTGGGAGAATTCGAAATATTCAAGTTTGCCAACCTTGAACCAGTTCAACGTCCTTGAACCGGTTCAAGATGTTCAAGTTTGATACACTGCCAAACTTGAACCTGTTCAGCTTCCTTGAACCGGTTCAAGAACTCCTGTTTGCAATACAACTTCAGTTTCCTTATTCTTAATTATTTCCAAGTTGGTCTAGAATTGTACCAAATACTATGCACGAAATTTACCTTATTTTCAGAGGGATTAGGTCATTCTATACTCTATATAAACCATGTCATATACATTGGTTTATTCACGACTTTTACATCATAACTCAGATATTATTCAAAGCCTTAGGAAGTTTATTTCTATCAGAAAATCAAAGTTGATTTTTTTGTTTTCTTCCTAGAACATACACTTATTCACCTAGTTAGGTTAGAGTTGTAGTGTTCAATTCCTGATCGTGATCATACAATCGTATCAACATCGATCAGACAAAGCAGATCTTCTTCTACATCATTCAGACGATTGAAGAACAGAAGTAAACACAGTCACACTTTGGAAGGATTAGAGCATTCGTGGAGTGCTGTCTGATCTACCTGCTACTCTTCTATAAATATCAAGTGTAAGCCTGAGATCAAATTGCTGTTGGACGGGGAGTCGCAAAACCAGAGGATCGTCAGCGGTTGGTGTGGTATAGAACAATAGGGTGTGAGCCAGAATCAAAGTTCGGTATACTTTGTTTCAAGCATAGTGGATTGGTATACTGCGCAAGTCCACGAGGTTTTTCCCATTATAGTTGACGTATTTTATCAATTGAGGTTTCCTCGCTAAAATCCTAGTGTCATCTCTAACTTTATACTTTGCTTTATTTTATTGCATGCAATTAATTGTTTATCTGCTAAAATAAATAAAATTGGTAACGACACAGATCTGTCTTTCAAAACTTAAAACTTTCCTATATACATTCCGCTGCGACAACTCACATACTCCAAATCACAAACACATATAGTTTCATCCAGTGTCTATGCTGCTATGCACACAAGTCACATGCAAGCTTAATAATTATAAATAAAATAAAAAATAAAAAATAAACCTTAACAATTGATGTCGCTAAATATTATATGAAAAAAGATAAATTTTGCAATTGATTTACGCACCTGTGAAATATTGATTAGATTGATAAAGAGTTTTTGGTGGACGCTATTTATTAGAATCACTAAAGCAATCACATATTATAATACAATTATTAGAAAGCTAGAGAAGACGTCCATGCGCCAAACATAAACTTTAATGTATCCTAAAAGTGAAAGATTCTGGTTTCTCTTGGTAAATCCAACCAAACTTCTCCATATATGGGTTGGCTAGGGCTTTTGGAGGGTAGTTTTCAATGCAGTCTCCCCAAACATTCTCATCCTCCAAATCCCTAAGAACCTCCCACACACAACTGTTACACTTAAAACCAGCTCCAAAACTGATCATCCAAACCCTATCACCCTTCTTAAGCCTCTTCTTGGCCTCCATGTACCCTAAAACATACCACAGGCTACTGGCCGAGGTGTTCCCAAATCGATGCAGCGTCATCTTCGCAGGCTCCAGATGATGCTCTCCCAGCTCCAAACCCTTCCCGATCGCCTCGATAACCGCGGCACCACCAGGGTGCAAGCAGAAATGCTTCACCCCAGTCTTGAAATTCAAGATCACTTTGCCTCCTCCACTCTTGGTATACCTAGAAAAAATGTCCCAAAATTTTTGTAGCATTGTGTAGCGAAACAAATCTCTAAATGGCAATACCTTTGGAGCTAGGGTTCTTATGTTTTCGACGAAGGCTCCATTCGTCACCTTCGGGAGGCTCTTGCCGAGGTGAAACCCTAGATTTTTATGGTCATCTTCTGTTTGCATGCAACACCCATGTGCTTCATCACTGGAGCCGAGATGGGTGCGAACCAAGCACTTCAAACTCAGCTTAGCTCGATGTGTTAGAGCTCTGTTGTTTGTCAAGAGGATAGAACACCCACCTGACCTAAACAGACAGTTGGAGAGAATCATGGACTTGTCACTCCCGGAGTACCAATTCGGACCTATTGATTCCGAAGTCAAAACTAAGGCCAATTTGTTCTTTTGAGATTTGAAGATGCTTTGAACAACATTGGTAGATATAAGACTTGCACTGCAACCCATTCCAGAGAGATTGAAGGACATAATGTCCTCTTTCATTTTGTAATGGTTGATTATTCTACAAGTCAAAGAAGGGACTGAAGCGAGCATGGACACGTTCACGACGAGGACATCAATGTCTAGTGGTGGAACTCTGGACTTGTGGAAGAGCTCGTCGAGTGTGTTGAAGAAGAACTCGTCCATTTCTGATAAGCCATCTGTGAGAGCAGGAGATTCTTCCCGGCCGGCGATGATGTTTCTTGGGCCGTAAGTGTCTTCACCAATGCCTGAATTCACAATGGCGCGCAAGAGGAACTTGTACTCCTCGTGACCCAGGCTCTTGTTTCGCTTGATGATGGTGGCGGAGAGCTTGGTGTTGAGTTTCCGGTCATCGGAGGGCTTGAAGCATTCGTAGTGCAGTATGTAGCAGCCTTGGCTTCTGTATTGATCAACTAACTTGAATAGGAAGAGGAGAAGATACAAAAAAAGGACATATAATAACATCATAATGAGGAGCTCAGTATGTGTGTGTGTGTGAGAGAGAGAGAGAGACAGAAAGTGATAGATGGATGAATGGATGTTGATGCTGAGTCTTGAACTTTTTTTATATAATTCATATTACTTAATTTTTTTTGTTTTATATTTCAGAGTTAAATATTTTTTGTTTTTTTAACATAATGTCTGATATAAGTATATTCATTCATGTTGAAGCAATAATATAAATAAAATATAATTATTGAATGTATCTTAATTTTTACGTAAATAGTTAAGTAAAAGTATCCATGCATATCTCATATCATATCCCAACATAATAATGAGCCGTGAAGAGTAGATTAAACAGAAGAATAATAATTAATATCAGTTTTAATAATGCAACTATCACCACAACTTGATTGGAAATAATACCGCACTCCTACCTTTTAATAATGCAACTATCACCAAAACTTGATTGAAAATAATACCCCACTCTTATCTCAAAATTTATTTTAGTGGACCCTATCTTAGACTAATACTGATGACAATAACTCCTATCTCGGTAAGAGATGCCTTTCATTGCAAAATTTATTCCTGAAGACAGTCGTAGATATCAGTATTGGTCTAATTTTTGCTTTAAGGGCCCTAAATCCCTATAACCCTAGTGATACCAATATTTTATTGCAATGCATTTTACAATTGCATCTTTAAGTCATTGACAAACAAATTAAAATCCATCTTTCTAATTTAATTGACAAGACTTGAAATGTTTGCCAACCATGCACCGCCACCTGCAATTCACGTGACAGTGCCCTCCATATAATCAAGTAGGGTGGGGCGCTTTTAACTTTAAAAAAATAAAAAAATAAAAAAATAAATAACAAATAGTAAGTAGTTTTTAGAAATAACATAAATATTGTATAATGAGATAGTAACAGTTTACCAAAGATCACATTGATTATGTAGAAAGTTTACAGAGTAGTCATCACTGAAATATGCATCCCCAATATGTACCTATTGCCAACAAATATTGACCGCATTAAGCTACCGTTGATGATATCAAACAATCCGAGAATAACATTGAAATCATAATTTACGGGAGTGTTCATTGTGCTTTCGAAAAGTCTAATAGAACCTAGAAATAAGAATGTATATAAAGGAAATTGGAGAGACAAATAACAATTACTAATCTGATTGAGTATTGAATAAAAACTGAATTGGAAAGATCAATTTTTATGGTCTCTTTAAATTTTGTAGGTAAAGTACAACAACACTTTCTGAAATTTGTCAAAAAGACATTCAGATTAAAGTTATTTGTTTTTGGGACAATAACATTCCTTGAAAGATTGAAAAGTGGATAAAGGCACCATTTGAAGCCAACTTGTATGAATAATTAATCAAATTGCCCTTAGACTATTTAGTTGACATTTTTAACTCTACAAGTTAATAAATTAGACGAAACTACCCCTTATGAACAAACAACCATAACACTAGGAATATAGACTGTGTGTGTGTGTACATCCCAGATGAAGAATATAGAACATATATCTATACTCTTCATCCCGATATTATACATCCTTGAAACAGATTAATAAATTGGATGAAAGTACATATGTGTAAATTAATAACAAAGTTTTTGGTAAAAAAAAAAAAAAAACCCATTTGTTTTCATTCTGCCATAATTTCTCAAAATAACAAAATTGATAACCCACAATTTCTCAAAATAACAAAATTGATAACAAAATTGCATATTTCTTTTGTTATAATAAATTCTCAATTTCTTACAAAAAGAAAAAAATTTGACCAATCTAAAAGGCGTCCATGAAGATACATTTTCATTACTCTCAGGTATGCAAATCAATATGGGATTTGATATTCAACGTACAACAGTTAATATGGTACTATTTAATAAGGGTAATTTAGATATTCTAATCCTTGTCCATCAATTATGCACCGGGTGATAGTGCCCTCAACATAATTAAGTAGAATTTTACCTACAAAGTTTGGCATAAAATTAAGCATAAAGTGAAACTATGAGAGATGTCTACTTTGACATACAATTAATGAGCCGTGAAGAGTAGATTAAACAGAAGAGTGATAATTAATATCACTTTCAATAATGCAACTATCACCAAAACTTGATTGGAAATAATACCCCACTCCTACCTTGACAAGAAGTTAACTTTCATTTCAAAATTTATTTTAAGAGTACCGTGTGAAGAGTTGCCTTTCATTTCAAAATTTATTTTAAGAGTACCGTGAAGAGTTGCCTTTCATTTCAAAATTTATTCTGAACTTTCTCCTGAACTTCTAAACGTGTATCCACATATTATTGTACAGTGAAAGGTGGATTGATATCATAAAGAAAAATGATTGATCTTTTAGTCTATTTCTCTTACCTATTTGTATAAATGAAGAATTTTTTTTATCTCTTTGATACAATAAATAAGACTTACACTTGAACTTATCCACTAATTACATTATTCGGCGAAACACATAGGCCTAAATAGCATTACTCTTGCATAAAAGATGGACGCTGTATCGGTAAGTTCAATTTCAATGGACGAAAAATTTAGAAGTGTTTTTTCTCCTTTAGCACCAAAAACTTTCAAGCACACATGGAATATAGTAGGTGTGGAAGTCACTTTTGCAATAAAATTATTCTTTCAAAATAGCTAGATTTTTTAAGAAATTGATACCTCTTATATTTGCTTAAGTGCCCAAAATCCCTACCCTAGTGAGACCAATATTTTGTTGCAATGCATTTTACTAAGTCTTCAACAAACAAATTAAAATCCATCTTTCTAATTTAATTGACAAGATTCGAAATGTCTGTCAACCATGCACCAACCAATATTTTGTTGCAATGCATTTTACTAAGTTTTTGACAAACAAGTTAAAATCCATCTTTCTTATTTTTTATTTTTTATTTTATTTTATTTTATTTATTTATTATAATTTTTTTTTTTTTAACTCCAAACAGACAAACTAACATTTAAATAGAAGGAACTACATGATCTGAAAGAAGAGCATTTAATAACCACAAAGGCCATATACTCCACTCTAAATCACCACATTCGGCTTTAAAAGCATGTTTGCTCAATAAATGAGCAACCATATTACCTCCTCGAAGAACCCACGCTAAGAATACGTCGGGACAGTCCTTAAGCAAAGAGAGAATATCACTGAAAATAACATTAAGAGCATCCACCGAAGCATTCAACCGCATAATAGGCTGATAATCTCCTTCCACAACCACATTGTGATAGCCCCACCTCTTAAGCAACACTAGAGCCTCCCGAAGCATCAAACCCTTTTGCCAAAGAGGGGCTACTAACATTAGGGATGAAAAGTGTAGCCACCTTAACAGGATGGCCATGATGGTCACGAAGAATCAAACCTTCGGCCGCTACACAAGCGACGAGAGGGGTAAAACGAGGCATCAAAATTCAGCTTAAAACAATGGACCTCCAGCACAAACCATTGCACAATAGAAGGCGTAAAAAACATCCGGCTGGACTGACGAACCTGTTCTTGATATTCCTGAAAAGCATGATAAGCCATCAAACTGACTTTATAAAGATCTCTTCTCTTTTGTTTAAAAACCAAATCATTGCGACATTTCCATAAGGACCAGCAGACAAAAGCTGCCAAGCCGATACACTCATCCGAGACAGGAGAATCAGCCACCTCTCACAGAGAGTGACCCATGTCACCGGCCAAAAGGACGTCTGCAACCTAGCAAAATCAACATGCAATGGACATAATTTCCAAACCAAATAAGCAAATAGGCAAGAAAAAAGAAGGTAATCAATTGACTCAATAGCAGACTCACACACAGGACACATCAGAAATTCAACAACTCCGCGACACCAAAGTAATTCATTCACTGGAACTCGGTTACGAAGAGACTGCCATAAGACAAGTTGAATCTTACGATGGGCATAGAGCAGCCCCACTTGGCGCCACATGGAACTACAGTTGACATCAAAGCTACACCCGGCTAGAGAAAGAGAACAAACACCGGGGCGAAGAATAGAGTCAGCAACATAACATGCGCTCTTAACCGAGAAGTGCCCATTACTAAAAGCTCCCCAAATTTTGCAGTCCAAGCCACCCGAAAAACTGAGAGGAATTTGCAATATCAGATCACGATCTCAAGGATTAAAAAATCGACCAATCAAATCAGAGTTCCATTTGTGAACAGTGGGAAGGATTAAATCAGTAACGAAGAAGAAAGCAGCCCCTTGTGGCCTAGAGGTCACTGAGAAATTAAGCGGATCTAGGAGCCAATTATCATGCCAACAGTGAACTCGAGAACCATCTCCAATTCGCCAACGCATTCCTTTCTTAATAATCTCCTTGGAGGACAGAATACTCTTCTAAATCCATGAAGTAAATGGACGATTAGGCACATCAACAAAGTTACACAACTTAAAATACTTTTGCTTTAAAGACCTGTACAAAAGAGAATCATCTCTAATTTCCATATGCCAAGCAAGTTTAGCAAGAAGAGCTAGGTTGAAAGCCTCAATATTTTTAAAGCCAAGCCCTCCACCTTGCTTAGACTCGCACAAAGTATCCCAACTGATCCATTTGATTTTATGGGGTTTTGCTATCCCACTCCACCAAAAATTGGAAAACATACTCGTCAATTTCTCACAATTCTTTTTCTACAATTTGAAGCAGTGCATAGAGTACATGGGAAGAGCCGAAAGAACCGATTTCACCATAATCTCTTTCCCTGCCTTGGATAACAGAGAGCATTTAAGGGATGCAATCTTTTTGGAGACGCGATCGTGAATAAAACTTAAGGCACCCACTTTAAACAGCCCCAAAAGAGACGAAAGCCCCAAATATTGATTATTCCAATCCACATTCTGAAAAGCCAAAGCCTGGCGATAAAAATCCTTCTGGGAGGAAGGAGTGTTAGGAGAAAAAAAGAGACAGGATTTCTCCAAACTGATGAGTTGACCGGTAAGAAACTCATATCTGTTGAGAATGGCTTTAACTCGACTAACCTCCGGATCCCTGGCCCGACTAAAAATAAGGGCATTGTCAGCGAACAAAATGTGAGAAATGGGAGGGCAACTTTGGCCCATTCACAACCCTAATAACTGTCGCTTCCTCTCAACTTCATGGAACAGAATAAAGAGCCCCTCCATATAAAATAAAAATAGAAAAGGGGATAGTAGATCACCCTAACGAAGACCCCTGAATGGAGGGAAACAATCACCCTGTTCCCCATTTATCAACACCGAATAAGAAACTGAACCAATACACTCCATCATGAGGTTCACCCATCGCCGATCAAAACCCAAATGACTCATG